TTATTATTATTATTATTATTATTATTTCCTCACCTCCGACACATGTCCTTCCACCCGACAATCCAACGCCGCAACACCACTTTCTGCAAATCCGCCGCCCACAACCACCCCAATTCAACCGCCAACAAACACAAACATTACTCAACCCCTCTCTCCTCGACCTTCCTAAGCTAATCCTTGCAATTCTTCAGGTCCAGAAATTTTGGAGAGGAAGAAGAGAAGATGAGGAAAGAAATTAGGGGATAGGTTTAGGATTTTAATTAAGTTCTGGAAAATTGCAATTTTAACCCTGCATTTGTTTTTAAACTTCAATTTAGTTCCTTACCTTTAAAAATTATATGTTTAAGGGCTGAAATTTTTTTCTTGCAAATAACCACGGGGTAGTTTTGTCATTTCATAAGAAAAAAGGAAGAAAAAATCGCAAACGCGGCGAGTGAGCCGCACGATCAGCTCCAAGGGGGGTTTTCGCCTTTGACTAATAAGCATAGGGGGTATTTGCTATTTTTTTATGACATGGGGGAATCGTGCAGTTTTGAATTTCACAGGGGTAGCAAATGCAATTAACTCTATCTTAACGATTTAAAAATAAAAATAATACTCAAATAATTTTTATACAATATTTTAGTCTGAAATAATATATGATTAATTTATATATATTAGGAACGGGGCCTAAAATTCCCTAAACATGCCTATCTATTACACCAACTCTTTGTACACAATAAGTTTAGAACATGGGCTTCCACTAGTGTAGAGAATTTTAGAACAAAATAGAAGATTTCATCTTTGGTATTGAAAGTAAAAATATATAAAAAAATAAAAAAATATTAGTTCTTATCAGAAAAAGAACAAAACATAAATAAAAAATATTAGAGCAATGTTGAAGTATAAAGGCCCGCCCTTACAAAACAAAACCTGAAAGAATTGCGAATGCCGGTCGCTCTTCGCTAACATGCGCTAGTGCAGGGTTATCAAACTATACACCATTTCGCGCTTTAACAGTACTGTATCAGGGTTAGTACAATTCACGTTTCTGTTGCTGCGAGATTCTTTCCTCTGTACAATTTCATCGTCTTTGTATGCCACACACACTGAAACTCACCAAATGTATATGATTCAAGAACATGAAGTGGTTTTCTTTTTTTAGTATGCTCGATTTTATGGTATATCAAGTCTATTGGTTTTCTTCTCTCCTTTTATTTCACATTTCACCTAGGTTTTCTGATTTTGTTATATTATTCGGTTTCCTGATAATTTGTCATTATCTGGATAATAAAGGTAATTCGGAGTTGGAACAATTGTTGACTTCATATTCGCTATTAAATTCATATCTGGCGTAATTGAATGACTTGCGTTGTTTCCATTGGGAATCACTCCATTTTTCCTTGTTGTTGTTGGATTCTTTGTGTTTTGGGATTATTTAGTATTGCGAATCATTGGGAATGAACTAATTAAAGAGTATTAGTTTGTTTTTTAATGCTGCCCTGCACTTATACTATCATTTGTTCAAGGCAGCTTAAAGTTAGCATGATTTTCCTGATGATCATAAAATGCAGCGAGATTTTTGTTAATATTGGATATGCCTGTTTTTCGTTGATATTCTGGTGTATTCTCCCATCAGTATCCCCTGTGTTAGTAGAATTTGCTCCACGTTGAGCATTTCAATCAGTTTAGTTTCGAGTAAAATTTCTTTCGAATCATTAGTCATGGCTGTACCTTATTTACTTCCATTTAAATTTTTTAATGTTTGTAGCATCTCGTTTTTGTTGATATTCCTAATATTTGCATATTCTAAGACATCCATTTCTACTTCCCCAATAACAACAAGTACTCCTGCCATCTGCATATTTATCTAATGATCTTTCCATGACATCATGTAAAAATAGTTTGATTGCATTAGAATTTCCAATTCCAAGTGGAGTTTTAATCTGGCTCATGGTTCATCCAATTGCCTTGTCAGAATGGGAGTTGTGAAGAACAAACGTCAGAGTGAAGCTTCTCCTTCTTGGTCGATGGCATCTAACATGGCGTGTGCAAGAAATTTGAATAAGAATCAACTTGGAGGTGTAATATTTGGTTGCACAACAAGCACTATCAAAGAATGTCTCACCAATCAACTATTTGGTTAGTCATATTTGAGTCAATTGTAGATATTGTCTTACAGTCACTAATTTGTTCAAGACTTTAACTCATAATCTCATGATAAAATTGGTTTAAAACTTATCCATCGGGAGACTCATCTCTGTTTGAATTGTTGACAGGCCTGCCAGCACAACACTTTTTATATGTAAAGAACATTGCGCCAGGTCTACCATTATTTTTGTTCAACTATAATGGAAGACAACTTCATGGTATCTACGAAGCTGCTAGCTCAGGGAAAATGAATATCGATTCATATGCTTGGACATCAGACGGTTCAGAGAGAACAAAGTATCCAGCTCAGGTATTATTATATGGAAATACCATCAGTTGTTATGGCTTTACCAGCTACGTCATTGTCTCCATTATTTTTCGTATAGGTCCAAGTACGTGTCCGCATGCATTGCCAAGTCCTTGCTGAGTATCAGTTCAAGCCAATAATTATAGATAACTATTACAGTCAAACCCATTTTTGGTTTGAGTTGGACCATGCTCAAGCAAACAAGTTGATATCCATGCTATCCTCTTTAGCAGTTGCCCCGAGGCCCTTTGTACCACAAAATCTCCCCAAGCGGACTGCAATAGTGCAGAGGCTTCCCTCAAGCAACAAGAGAGAAGAAAGTGGAGTATCTGAGCCACCACTCTTGACCGATGATTTTGTCAACTCTCATGATTCAATTGGAACATCGGCCACTGCAAATGGTACCCTCTGTTTGGGTGAAAATAATCAATGGATGGAGGCATCAACATCCAACTCAATGGTAGAGTGCAATGAAAAGGATCTTATTTACATGAAACTGAAAGAGTTGGCTCTCAGTTCTGAGTTTAAAGATGGAAACATGATAGGGCGTGGGATAGGAGGTGCATCTACAAGTGTCATGGACTTGAAACATGAAACCCACGATGATGATGATCTGGTTACTTTGGAGAAGAAGAATGGTGGAAGTTCTTTGGATTCACTTGATTATCCTGCTATCATAGTACAGGTACTTTTTTCAACATCCAGTTGCTTTGTCTATATTTGAAACTAGTTAGTTGAGATTCCTTGAGTCTAAAACTGCATTCAAGCTAGTTAACTTGGCTGAATTCTATTTAATTTAAACCTTCATGTGTTATTTTGCGTGCTTTAAAGATCATCATGCACATTGCACTGTTAGTGCAGTCAGATTTCAGTGGTTTTTGACATAGCTAACGCCTATATCTATGTTGAATGCAGTTGTGCAGGGAAATGGAAGAGCTAAAGACTTTTAAGCAAGAGCAAAATCAAAAGATGGCAAGTCTTGAAAAAAAGCTGGTATTTTTTCTGTTTCAACAACCCTCATCTTCCAAAAGCATTTAACTTGTTGTTTAAGTTCTTGGCTTTCTTGGGGAAGAGTATCAATTTGAACTAGTAATCTGATAAGAAAACTGACATGCTTCTTGTTCTGATTAAAAAACTATATACCTATTTAGAGACTTGATTGTCTACTGCTGTGTAATTGCATTATGTTAGTGGGAACAAAATTGGGTTCTCTTCAGTAACATTAATCCTCTAGCTTGGTCTATCTAGTGTTTTGGCACTTCAATTTTGGTTTAGATCAAATAAGCCAAAAACTGCTCACATGGCAGAAAACTTGGCATGAGCTTCCTTGATAGCCAGTGAGCCTTTGGTGGTGTGTGCAAAAGCTTTTGAAAAATTAGAAGTTGGTTGTTGCGAGTAAAGTTGGGGGTGTTTGCAAATGCCTGAGAAATTAACTTTAAGCATCCAATTTAGAAGTTGATGTGGTCGCAAAACAAATTTTAATGTTCAGCTTATCTTTGTAATTATCTGAATTGTCCTTAAAATTGATTTAGATAAAAATAATAATGGGTACATTAATCATTACCTTCGAATCTTATTGAGATCATTCTCTTGGCAAAGAGCAAAAGAGAGGAGAAAATTCATCTGATTGTTTGGTTAATTTCGAGTTTACAATCTCACCTTTGATGCGCCATTACGTGTTGTTAAATGGATAAGGAGATAGTGGTGATCTAAATTTTCTGATAAATTGCCAGTTGGTTGCTTCATTGCGAGTACTCTGCACAGAGAACAAGTCATTTTGGTTTTGTGTTAAATAATATTGCTTTATGTTGGCAAGGGACTTTAAATTGAAGTTGGATTTGTCGAACTGAAGTATTATATAAAATTCTGAACCAGCTTTTGCTTTCCCTCAGCACAATGCACTTAGTGGTGAAATCTCTTTTGCATGGTAATAATTGGTTATTTATTTATGTTATTGTGAAAATCCGGTTCCTGTTTCATTGTGGTGCAAACATACCTGTTTGGGCTGTTACTATCCATCACTGAAGAAGCAATATTTTGCTCCCTTTTGCCAGTGAGTGCATGCCTGTGATAGTTAATGAGTTGGTAGTGGTTTTTATTAGTCCTATATTCCCAATGTAAGTCCACATCACATTTCAGGCTGAGGCAGAACAAGAAATTCATCGGCTGGAGAATAGAAGTATGAAATTGGAGTCGACATTGAATACTTCCATGAGACTCTCTGGCGACGAGGCACCGATTGAGTCCACTGATGAATTGTACCTGAATCTTGATGAGTCCATCTTAATAGTTGGCGGATATGATGGTGTTGCGTGGTCATCAGCATTGCATTCCTTCTTACCTTCACATGATGTCTTAAGGTCTCTTAAGCCAATGTCTTATATTCGATCATATGCCTCAGTTGCCAGATGTAATGAAGAACTTTATGTATTTGGTGGTGGATCTGGTTCTATGATGTGGTATGATACAGGTATTTTTGTGCCCCTATCAGTTCATTATGCATGCACGTCTTTCTCTCTCCCTCTTGATCTTCCTACTTATTGACACCTGTATTTTGTTTATATGAAGTTGAGTCTTATAATGCTGGAAACAACGAATGGACCCTTCGTCCTTCCATGAACAAAGAAAAGGGCAGCTTAGCTGGTGCTGCTTTAAATGGTAAAATTTTCGCACTTGGTGGTGGAAATGGGACTGAATGCTTCTCGGATGTAGAAATGTTTGATCCATATGTTGGGCGATGGATTTGTGCACGCTCAATGTTGCAAAAGGTAGTCTACCATCACTGACAATTGATTTTGGTGTTTAATGAATTATAATTCATGAGATGGTAAATGAATGGGTATTTATTGATAAAGATCAATATTAATATTCGTTGTTGTTAGTTAATATTGATCTTTGTTTTAAAGCGGTTTGCTCTTGCTGCTGTGGAGCTCAATGGTGCCCTCTACGCTGTTGGTGGATATGATGGAAATGAGTACTTGACGTAAGTTGCGAAACCTGTTTGAAATTAGCATTTTTTTGGAAAATTTGAAAGAAGGTCCGGCATGGCATCTCACAAGTGGCTTTCTTTGGGTTTGTGCAGGACTGCTGAAAGGTTTGACCCTAGAGAAAATTCATGGACAAGAATTGGGAGTATGAATGCGAGTAGAGGCTGCCACTCACTGGTGGTAATGAATGAAAAGTTGTAAGTTTATTTCCCAATCTCTGTTTTTTGAATATTCATCGGATGAAAGAGTGTCCCATTCCATGTGAATTGAATGGAATTGTTGTAATTACGAGATAAGATGGGAAATTGTCTAGGTATGCAATAGGTGGTTACGATGGAATAACAATGGCTCCGTGTGTTGAGATATATGATACTCGTCTTGGGACATGGATGAGTGCGGAGCCTATGAATCAAGGAAGGGGATATTCAGCTGCTGCTGTTCTTGGTGATTCCATTTATGTCATTGGTGGGATTCAAACTGACGAGGAAATTGTCGACCAGGTTAGTCAATCATCTCTCTCTCACGGGCTCTGTCACACACACCCCCACCATTAGTGGGTTTTTTTTCTTTCTAAAATTTATTTGGTAAAGTATATATTTGTTGTCTGAAAGTCTATTTGTGACAGATCGAATGTTATAAGGAAGGTCGAGGATGGGAAGCAACAAACTTAAGTGCCGTCGGAAAAAGGTGCTTTGCTTCTGCTATTGTTTTGAGAGGGGATTGAAACCATACCTGCTGCATTATCAATCTTCAAAGCAGTCCTCTCTTTTTTTTTCCCCCAAAAAAACTTTGTTGGCCAAGTTATGCATTATTATAAAGTCATGAAAGGTCGAAGGAAAGTGTAACCTTTTTTCTGTAATTTGTTAAGAATTTGAAAATTTTGTGATCGAAAAATGACGGAATTCGGAACTGTCAGAAATTAAAATCGTATTAGAAATTGGAATGCATTTTTGAATTCTGATTTTCTTTAAATAGAAAATGGAACCCATTTTTAAGTTTTGAAAAAAAATAGAAAATTTATTTCCGATAATTCCTAAAATTAATAGATTCAAATTGGAGATTAAAAAAATTCCGATCCAATTTGCATCCATAGCTTAGAGTCTAGTTACCAAAAAGGAAATAAACAAATAATAATTCGGCTTAATCGGGAGCTCCACAGTTCACATGATCCACCGACACAATTTCATGAACGCCATATGATATCTCAAACGTTCCCTATAAATAAATTTCCTCCTTGCAAATTTGCCGATATTTACATTCAATCACCTAAAAATGGCAGCAAGCTCCTCCCCTGCAATCCTCCCAATCTCCAACCCTCAATCTACTCCCGCTGCCTCCGATAACCAACAATTGTCCTCCTCCTCCTCCACCTCGCCCGTCCGCGCTTTTCTGTCCAACATCTCCGACACTGTGGGCTCCGGCCTCGCTAGCCGCCGCCCCTGGCCAGAGCTCCTCGACCGTTCCGCCTTCTCCAAGCCCGAATCCCTATCGGAAGCTAGCCTCCGTTTCCGCAAGAACTATAACTATTTTCGCATCAATTACCTCGTCGCCATCACCGCCGTCGTCGCCGTGTCCCTTTTAACGAATCCGATATCCCTAATCCTCCTTACTGGCCTGCTCGCCGCGTGGATATTCCTCTACCTCTTTCGGCAGTCGTCTGATCCTCCAATCACCGCCTTCGGACGCCAATTCTCGGATCGCGAGACCCTCCTCTTCTTAATCTTCTTAACCGTTGTTGTCATATTCCTCACCAGCGTCGGATCTGTACTAGTCTCCGCCCTCATGGTTGGCGTAGGCATTGTTTGCTTGCACGGTGCTTTTAGGGCTCCCGAAGATCTTTTCCTTGATGATCAGGAGCCTCAGGGAGGCGTTTCTGGCTTCCTCTCTTTCTTCACCACCACCGCCGTTGCTCAGCCTCCTCTTGCTGTTAGGACTTGACCTCAGGAGCCTCGATCAGGGTGATGAATAATAAATTCTATTTTTTTTCTTTTACAAATATTCCCGATCGAGGAATCCGTTTGATTCGGATGAGTAATTCCGTAATATTGTATGCGGTGAGCATAATATATATTATGCATGTAAATTAATCTGTACCATTTTTGCATAATTAGGGAATGTTAATATTTGTAATTTTGTTTTTGTATAATATATATATAGAACCCCAACATATATACTGTTTGTGTGTGTGTGTGTGTGTGTGTGTGTGATGTAGTAGTAATGTGTTGTTTGCTATTACCATTTACCAGGGGAAGAGCATTCTGTAAATCTCATTTGACTTACTGACTGACTGACTTGTATTATCTTTCTGGAATATAATGCTGATTTGTTTTTTGATCATCTATATATGTCAATTTAGTAGCAATCTGGCGATCATGCATGATTAATGGAATGGACTTACAGTTACACATTTTCAATTATAATTAGTGAGTTTTTAGACACAAACACCGGGATTATGAATTTGTAAACAAGGAAGGAGATAGAGTGGTAGTTGTGATCGATCAAAATTCATGTGTTGATCCAGAACAAACCCTAAAATAGGATCTAGTAACTTACGGATATAAGATTCCTACCACAATATTTTCACCCTAGAGGACGATATATATATCTATAATATTTTTTAATCTGTAATTAAATTTAACTTGATCAAGAATAAATTACCTAGCTACAACATTTCGAAATGATTTATTTTCAATACTATACTATGATGGAATGTAATCCTACAACTTTTTATATATAAATAATTGATTAGTCCATTAACTAAAAAATGAAAATTATATATTGTGGATTATTTAAATAAAGTCATGTCTTATATACTTCATTTGCTATCTATCATTCACAAATCCGATGGATAAGACAACAGAAAATGGAATATATAGGAATTAACTGCTAATTAAAAGTCTAATTAATATGATTTATAATCAAGGAGAGCTAAAATAACAAATTAATAGAGGCCGCAAATAGCAAGAATAATGAGAAAGAAGAGGAGTGCATATATGATATGTCGTGCTGAAAAGTAGGGAAGAACAAACAAGACCTTTCTCTTTCTCTCTCTGCATGCATTCTGAAAGAAAGAAATCAGGGAAGAGAGAGATTATAATAATTAAGGTATTTGCGCGAGCGGTTGTCTTGTTGTATTGTTAATGGATCAAGTATTCAGCAAGGTCGGTTCTTATTGGTTGGGCCAACAAACCAACAAGGAGGTTGCCTCCGTCGCCAACGAAATCAATGTAAGAACAAACGAGCGAGTTTTTTTTTTTTTTTTTTTTTTTTCTGGAATTTAGGTTATTTGCATTCTAACATTAGCAAATCTCTCAATTCTATTTTAGAATCTTAATTTTAGATATGGTTTATACGTGCATTATATGAATCAATACCAAAAGAATTTCGCAGAGGTTCCTACGCTATTATTAGAATGCTGATATATATTGTCCTTGGTGTTTGTTATAATTAGTCCTTATCAACCAGCATCGAAGGGGGAGCAACATGGTTGGTTAACAAGATAAAAGGCGAGTCTTCTTCTTTTTCTTGTTGTATATATATATATATATATATATACATATACTTTGATGATGATCGATGATTGATCTAATATTACAAGTAGTATTATTCCTCAGGAAAAGTTCAGAAGCCATTAACAGAACTTCTCAAGGAGTATGAGCTGGCAGTAGGTATATTCCCGCGTGATGCGACAAATTACGAGTTCGATGAGGAAACGAGAAAGCTGACAGTGCACATTCCAAAGGTGTGTGAAGTGGGGTACAAAGACCAGTCGGTGTTGCGTTTCTCAACAGTTGTAAATGGTTATCTAGAGAAAGGTAAGCTATGGGATATAGATGGAATTAAGACAAAGATGATTGTGTGGATAAAGGTGTCTTGTATTTCATGTGATGAAACAAAGATACATGTAACTGCCGGTATGAGGAAATCCAGAAGCAGAGATGCATATGAGCTTCTTCGAGATGGGATCACTGTCGACAAGTTCTAGCTATACGTACTACGTACTACTGTCGTTTGTTACTGTAATCTATCCATCTATCGTTTGCTGTTATCAAATATCAACTAAATCTATCTATCTATCGTTTGCTGTTATCAAATATCAACTAACTGTGTGGCAGAGGCAAAAATACAAAAAAGATATGCACCAGCCGGGAATCGAACCCGGGTCTGTACCGTGGCAGGGTACTATTCTACCACTAGACCACTGGTGCTCTTTTTTAATGAAAGATTAGAAAATTTTATTTCGTAGATAATATCCATGAACAACAAAAGATAGAGATGCCAATTGCCAAGGACACATTAAAACAGACAGACCCCAAATCCATCAAAGCTTCAAAACATGGCATTCTTATTATATTACTACATATATTGCATACAACAATTTATATTATTATATACAGGCATCCATTCATATGTACTATGTATTCAGGTGTATTAGTTTTAATTTGATGTTAAACATCTTGTTTTGGTCCTTTTCCAGCTGAAGTGAGGAATAGACCAAATTGAACAGTAGTTTTGAGTAGTTAGAAAAAGCTTTTGACAGCTTCATATGTAGACCAGCATATTGCAGCAGCTGGCGCATGGAACAACATTCTTGGAATCCAGCCTCGTATCAGCCCACCATACCCATCCCTTTTCTTTATTGTCTGAACCACCTCCACCATCGAACTACTCGAATATCGATCACACCCACACACACCCTGCAATGCCAATCCATATATATCTTTGATCTCCAATAATAAAAATAATCAACAAGACATGAAATCAAACCTTAAAACAATGAATAGAACGAAAGAAAAACGATAAAATTTGATTACCTGGCACTGCAACTGAGTTTTGACAACATCCAGGGGAGTGGTTATGGCTGCAGCTAACGCCCCAGCAGCAGCTCCAGCAGTTGCATGCACCAACAAAGTCTCATCACTGTCCGTCAGCCCCCTCTTTGCAGCCTCGTAAGTAGCAAAGTGAACTGCAGTAAAAGGCGCATTCATCACAACAGTTGTTCTATAGCTCGCGTAAAAGGCCCCAAATCCCTCTTCAACCAATACCCTCCTCACACAATCCACCACTCCCTTATATGGACTTCCCTTTAACTGCAGCCTTTGCTTGACTAGGTCCATTGGTGTTATAACCGCATCGCTGGCAACAGTAGCTAACACCCCTGAAGCTGCGTGAGCAATCGGATTGTTTGGTAGAGATTTCTTACAAGATTCATATACCGAGAAGTAGACTGCATGTGCAGGGCCAGCACCTAGTCCCATTGCTGCAATTCCACGATACAGCCCACCAAGGCCTTCTAGTTTCAAAATTGAGCCGAGGGATTGCCTGAGATTTAATGATGGGGTTTTGAATGAAGAAGTAATGGCTTGCATGCGAGTCTTGAGAGTGTCGACTGGGAACATGGCCATGTGTTCTACTGATCCAGCAATAGACCCTGCAATCATGAACTGCCAGAACTCTAGGCCATCGTGTGAGTTTTCATCATAATCTGCCGTAGTGGCTACCATGATCAAGTTGTTGAGAATTTGTGCGTGTAGATGGATGGATCAAGGGTTTAAAAAGGGTGAGTGAATAACTGGCAGGTGATTGCTTTGGAAATTGATTTTAGTGGGAGAAAATATAATGAGAGAGAGAATATATCACCTACAGTTAGAGATATTCCACATTCCATCTCATCTCATCACATGAAAAGAATTATTACAATCAAGTAAGGAAGTTTTAAAGTAATAAAAGATAGCACAGAGATAACTTGATAGCTTATTAGACCTTAAATAAAACTGACAAGTTTCGTTCAAACGATGATGATGAATGAAGATGATTGGCAATAAATAAAGGGAATCCAGTGATGGGTACAAAAGAAAAGTTGAGGTAAATAGAGACAAAGAGGGGATGTTCTATCCACACATACACGCCTTTTTAATTCATTAGTACCTTTATTGCAGCTGTGTGAGTGTTAATCGAAACTATATGAATCTCCATCACCATATCACAATCACAATCGCAGCTTTTATCTTCCCATTCAGCTCAAAAGACAGAATATAATTACCTTTTGACTCATTCGATCAGCTTTTTTTTTTTAAATCAGTGTATGTATGTACTCTATTCAGCTTATATGTATATATGCAGATGCCAATGAGGAATTTTATGTCCTCATACAAGATGAGGTCCCCGAACACCCCCCATTCTCTAAATTGACAAACAATAGGTTCAATTATTAACACCACTCGAGTTGGCTGATTCCTTGAAATATATGTACACAGTTGTTTTATCATCAAAGTAACCTTGTTTCTTGATAAAGCTTCCATATTTGATATTACTCAACAGCCGCGTTCATAATATTATCCTCTGTTTCTTTTTTATTAAAACATCAATTTATATTTCACTTTATTCTATTTTAGTGTCGAATAAAGAGGCAGAGATGACAAAAATCAAAAGATTATCAAGATGATTAAACCGGAATGAGATAGATGGCTCTAGTTTAATCTTAACGTAAGTACTAGTTCCATTCCATGATTCAATAATATAATTAATAATATTTATAAATGATCAAACATTTCAGCATGGTAGAGGATTTCATTCTTTAAAAAATATTATTTAATTTCCCCTCTAAGAAAAAAAATGAATGAATATAATAATAAAGGAATAAATAGATAAAAAGAGATTAGGCACAAAAATTCAAAGGGTTGATCCATGGTGTTGTGGAGAATAGGTGTAGTTGAAGAGTGTACCATCATATCTGCATATCCTCCACATGAATCCTCCATCTCCTTGTACAAATTAAACTAACCAACCCCTCTCTTTTATGATCTGCATGCAATTAAATAAATTATCTCATGCATGTCTCTATTTATATTAATAATTAATTAAATATTCAGACGTATTAACTAAATAAATAAATTTGGAGAAGGAAGAAAAAAAAGAAAGAGACACACACATTTCGATCGAGCAGGAGCAAAGATAATTATTAGTATATAAATAGTCTTGTCACTTGTGTCAAAGGGTTGGTTGATTCTTATGTCAGTGGGTTTACCTAATTAAAAAGGGACAACTGTTGTTCAGTAAGAAGAAGATACGATATATGCTTTAACGGTAGAGATTATTGTAATGAATTATGTTACCAACAACAAAACAATTATCTTTCTTGTGATTTTTGACTAAATTTATTTGTAATAATTAGTTCATTAATTACCAACTCAGAGACACATCATCATCATCATCAAACGTTGTTTCGTTTTGGGCTTCAACTGTCTGCCCATTAATAATGGGCCGGGCCGAACAGAACCGCCTTACTTGGATATCTTATTTGGGCCGAACAGAACTGGGCCTTCAGACAATATCTTCATACTTACTGCTCCTCATATTTTATTTATTTATATTTTTCTCACAAAAAAAAAAAAATAAAAGGAAAAATAAAAGGGGAAAAGGGGAAAAAAAAAAAAAAAGAAGAAGAAAAGTGATGCTAATCGTGAACAATAGAATGGATTAAAATACAAGCTTCGTCTGAAGCTGGAGCAGCATCATCTGTTATGTATGTTCAACAAAAAACAAAATCAAGCCCAGCGCCAAGAATATATATATATATATATATATATATATATGATTATGATAAATTAATTAAATAATGTAGGAGGAAGAAATTAGGTAGATGCATACCATCAAGAGGTGAAGGCAAGTGAGAGATAATAGTATCAATTAAACCTAATTGTGACTCATTTCCATCGTCTTCATCATGTTCATTATGTTCTCCGCCTCCACTTTGATGTAATATTTCAGAAACCAAATTGTTATTATTATTATTATTATTACTCTCCTCTTCTGCTTCTTCTTCCTTTTCTCCGATGTCATCTCTTGAAACCAATGCACAGATCAACTCACTTAACATCCCGCCACCACCGCTTGAATTATCTTCACTTTTTCCGGCAGCGGCATCGGCATCGGCATCACAACCTATGTCCTCCTTCCCATCTTGATCACCTGCTGGAATATCCAAAACCAACAACTCTTTAAACTCTGTTACACCATCATCTTCCATCTCCTCCGGATTAATTAACAGAGATATCTCTTTCTTTATGTTTTGATATCTATATATCTATATATCTATCTATCTATCTATCTATCTATCTATCGATCTTTTGCTATTATTAATGCATCTCGGACAAACGTCCTTTATATAAAGACCCTTGCATCGGGGAGTGTTCCACGTGTCCTTTATATTTTTAATCACACTCAACACTGAACGGAGAGTAGCTAGAGTATCCAATAAGATGCATGCATGTGCAATTGTCTCCTCTTCTGACAAGTCGGTTACTTATCTGATAAGTCGGTTACTAGAATTGCTAAATTATGTACATGGATATTTTAATGCTCTCAGTGGATGTGGATCTTCTGCTAAATAAGTAACCAACAAGTCAACAATAAATTCAAAAATTCTAATGACACGTCATATAATGATCAGTTTGAAGGAATTCTTGAGCCAAAACTATTTCAGAGAAATAAAGCATGCCCTGAAGCAACCAAAAAAAAAAAAAAAGTTGAGCAGCAGCAGCTAGAGCTAGAGCTAGAGCTAGAGCTGCTTTAAATTGCTTCGATCTCGGTCAGGAATGGTCTTCTTCTTCCCAGACATCTTTTCGGCGGCCCTGATTGCCTCCCTAGAGGCAGCCCTTTGAGCAGCATCTTCTTGTACTTTGTCCATAATCTTGTCGAAACCTGGAATTGTCTTCTCCAGTTTGTTGTATGTTTGAACACTCAGGCTATGGAATATCTCAAACAGTCTCTGCAAACAACCACCAAACAATTTTACAAAACATGTTTGTAATTTCCGAGGGAGAATTTACAATCTAGACGAACAGACATAAATACATACCATGACATCTTTGTTCCATTCGGCAATGTAAGGAGGGCCGGTAGTGTAACTACCAAGAGGTTCACGGTACCATTTACCACCATACGTTATCCTATCCATAGCTTGTTCAATGCTGAGAACCTCCCACGGTCTCAACCCAGGTATTACTTTTTGAAGTTGCACCCTTAGATCTTTTGGGATGAATTTGTTGGGCATGTGGTCCTCTTCTAAAAGTGTCGTCAACTCAGATCCACTTGCCCATAGAAACAGTGCATGACTAGGAGTCCTCATACCTGGCCAAACACCATCATTCGCCTCAAGAACTGCTAAGTCACGTCTTTTGCTCTCGTACGCCTCTTCCTGTACCTGCTTATATGTTTTCACCTCATGCCCCTTCAGAGGTACCCATGGTGCTATTCCTTTCTGCAGTTTATGCAGACATGCTGTCGCTGCTGCACCTAACCTAACTGAAAACCCCAAACCACCCATTCATTTTTATTACAGGGGAACTAACTAGACTAGGGTTATCAACACGTTGCAGTAAATACAAACCTTCCCAAGTGGCAATAGCACGCTCCATACCATACACCATGCTAATAGGTGCCCATTCATCCAAGTCATCACCCCATATAAATGTATGCTTGTCAATTATTCCAGCACCCCAAGCTGTTTTCAGCTGTATTAATTCCATTGGTCCTCTTGAACGACCCAATCTATCCTTGTAGAACCACCCACCACTTCTCATCACAACTATCATAAAACCAATTTTCTATATCAAATGATTTATATTGCCAAAATCAATGTGTCAATTCAGTCAACATGGGAATTTGGACAATTCATTTAACACCATAATATTGTAAAACCAACATCCATAAGAATCTACAAGAATATATTTTGTAACTTTTCAATACGAAAAGAAGAAACATTTTCCTATACTAGTGTAATAAGAAGAAACATAGTAATTCGGAACCTGAAAGGTATAGTGAACTTACAGTCGTAATAACGGTTCTCAAGTTTCTTATAACCAATAGCCTGGGAGACATCAATAGGCCTACCGGGTGGGTAGGGCCGCTGCCTGAACCCCCAAAGACCAAAAAAGAACTGCCTTGCAAAATCCCAAAACTTATCATCCGATTCCCTCTTCGTTTTTATAGCTTTCCTTGGCATTGGCCTCCCATCCAGCCCCATTATATTCGGCACTGCCTTCACAGAATTAATTAGACAAGTAGTAAAACTCAAACTCCAATTTTCTAGAAGAAGATAGACCACTAGACAAGTTTAAAAAACAGTCCGAGGAAAAGAATACCTGCCAGAGTTTCTTATCTTCTTTCCGGTAGGGAACAGAATTCTCCTGAAGTTCAATCTCATTGAGCTTATCAGCGATCTCCTCGGCGCGGGTCAAAAACTGCACAACTGGGTTACTACGAAAGTCAGCCCACCATTGCTCGTTCTCTTCAATTTCCTCCTGGGTGGGGTTTTCCTTCTTTTCGGCAATAGGGTCTTCCTGCAAAATCCTCTCGACCTCAGGGGCGTGTCGGTAATCTGGTAAGTTTTCGCACTCCCAGTAGAATTGGTCGAGCATTTGGCGGTACTTGCCAGGTTTTTTATCGGGGTCAGAATTTGGTTTCTTGGAAAAGGGATTAGAAATGGAAGCGAAATTGGGGGTTTGAGAAGAAGGAGCGGGGTTAAAGAAAGAGGAGAGGAGGTTGATTGATTGGATTTGGATTTGGAAGGGAAGCTTAGGTGGGTTTCTAAACCAGTTGTCGTTGAAGGGATTGAAATTAATCGAAGCCATAGGAGACACACAAGTTTTTTACCTTCCTTGAGTTCAGTGGAGTGGGAGTGAGAAATAATGGGATTAAGGGAGTGATGAGTATACAACAATGGAAAGAGTGATGGGCTCAGTTAATGGGCCACCACAACAATGGGCTTTTACTTCTTAGCCCAGTCAAACTCTCCATTAATTAATGTCCACTACATCAATTCACCAACCACAACCCCAATTTAAATGTAAATTTATTTAGAGAGAGAGAGATAGGGTGGGGGAGAGAGAGAGAAGATGAGCATTGATTGAACAGTAGTCTGTAGTACTAGTACTCCGTTTAGTAGTTAATTATGGTGAGAAGGTGGCAAATTGCATTAAAGTGAAAGCCATCTGAAAAAGAAAAAGCCATTCAAGTTGAGTGATCACTACTTAATAGCCACACCGTTGCTTGATGCCATCCATAATACACATTACTCATTACACACACACCCACACCCACACCCACCCACCATATATAAAAACACAGATACACAGAAAGAGAGAGAGAGTGTTACTTTTAAAAAAGGAAATGATGATGTCTTCTGAAAGACAACTCCATAGTTTCAGCAGCAGTACTCTAACTGTCTTAATATCTGTATTTCTGGTTTTGTTCATAATATCACAACCACCTCATCATCATCATCATCATGCATCTGCTGCCCGTATTATGGAAACTGATAATCATGATCCCTTCTCCGACATTTCAAACAGGGTTAATCTCTCTGTCTACTATGAATCTCTGTGCCCATATTGTGCAAACTTCATAGTCAACCATCTCGTCAACATTTTTCAGACAGATCTCATCAACATTGTCAATCTCAGGCTAATCCCCTGGGGCAACACTCAAATTCAGCCCAACGATACCTGGATTTGCCAGGTTTCATTTCCCCTGTTTTTTTTTTTCTTTCTTTTAATCATCAAATAATATATATTTGATGGTTTTTTGTGTTAACAATATTTCGGCAGCATGGTATAGACGAGTGTAAGCTGGATGTTACAGAAGCATGTGCAATAAATGAGTGGCCTCAAGTGGTAGGTGATAGATATTAACAGTGCCTATATATATTTTTTATTTTATTTTTATTTAAAAATGTTTGTTGCAGGAGACTCATTTCAGGTTCATATACTGCGTAGAGAGACTGCATTTGATGAACAAGCACACCCAGTGGCAATCTTGTTTTGCTTCAAATGGTTTTGATCCTAAACCCCTTGATAATTGCTACAATAACGGCCTCGGATATCAGGTTCGTTTATTTTCCGATTTATTAGGATTGTTCATATTAATTAGCCATTATAATTAGGCCTCACCTGAGTTACCATGATTTTTCATTATATATATATTATCTCCTCTAAAACTTGTTAATTGTTGATTAATGTACCATACCGCAGCTTGAGAAAACATATGCTGATGAAACGGCTAATCTGAATCCAAGACACAAATTTGTGCCATGGGTGCTTGTCAACAATTTTCCTCTTCAACAAGTCAGTCCCCCAGCTCCGATCCATCCATCTCAAATTAATTACACATACTATATATAAATGCATGTAAGGGGATCGAATTTATTTTGTTTTGTTTGATATATGCAGGATTATCAGAATTTTGTAGGCTACATTTGCAAAGCATACAGAGGAGGATATAAGAAGCCAAATGCTTGCAAATCATCTACTATTTCTACCTCTTTAACCATCAACTCATCTGAAGCAGCACCAATTTCTACACCCCAAGTTACCAATCCCTAAGACTACTTATTAATGAATCGGGGACGCTTGTTTTGGAATGAATACAAAATTTGAAGTACTCCCTAATAACAATAATAATAATAATATAGTTCTATTATATTAATGATCGATCATATATATGTATTAGTTTCAATATTGCGATGTGCACTTGATATGTTTCAAAACATATTCCATATATGTAAGAATTAGTAACTATATATACAGCTTCGTGTTGGCCGATGTGTTAATCTATTAGTTAAATGGAAAAACCAACATACATGGCATAATCTAGACTTGTGACAAGTTTATCATCTTCCAAGCTAAGTTCCAACTATTTAATTTACAACTACGTACTCATCTCCTCCGATCCAATCTAATTAATTAGTCCAACTCTTTCTTTGATGCAGTGAGTTTAATTCTGCATCAGTAGCAGGCTAGCAGCTGATTTCTAGTTGCATGCATCAATCATATCATATGGCTTGATGATGTGTAATCAGATGTTGGTTGGATTCCACATTTATTACTTAAAGGACTGAAAAACAACATTATGTATTAGTCGAACTTAATGTCATCATCAGTCGATATGTCCGAGTGGTTAAGGAGACAGACTCGAAATCTGTTGGGCTTTGCCTGCGCAGGTTCGAATCCTGCTGTCGACGTTTTTTGTTTTGTTTTGGGCACTCACTTATAAGGTAAGCCCATCACTTTAGCTTCCTTTTCCCGCGGCCTTCCATTGTTGACTTTTTCTCCTAACCCAACCCGGAACGGGACTGAGTCTGACCCGGTGGAAGTGGATCCACATTACATTACACAGACTTGAAACAATGGAAACTTGTTCAACAGGAACTCTTCTTCCTCACGCGTCAAACAACAAACTTGGAAGTTGAAGCTCAAATAATTCTCCAACAAAAGGAAAAATGAAAAAGAAATAAATTTAAAAAAGAAATGTGTGGTTTAAAAGAAAAGACAAAATGTATATATATATATATAGTTGGAAATAACAAGTCAACAAAATAAAGTATTAATTATTATGTATTTCAATGGTGAATTATGATGATCATTGTGTAGGTATTTAAGAATAGCCAATCATTTGATTAATCACAAATTAACTGCTTTCAACTTATACTGATGACTATCTTAATCATGCCATAATAATGAATGTGTAAGTAAACTCTTGTAAAAAAGACTAATTAACATGATTAGAGGATAATAAAGGTTATAAATAAAGGGGTTGTTAGGGAATAAAGTCAAAGTCAAGCTACAATTTCTAGAAAAGGCAACAGTTCAAACTTGTAGGTAGTTTATTTGGATGTGGGCAGTGTACAGACAGTGACTCAACTCTCCCATAATGAGTAGCTCCAATTTTCGTTGCCCCATTTTCAATGGCATTGCCACTATGCCAATTATATTTTATACGCGTTGACAGTCAACTATTCAACTTTTTCATATCTATATTCTCTCTCTCCCCCACCAATTATAATTTATATCACAAGAAAGCTAGCTCCCCAGGAATTTAGTAGGTATCCATCCATATTAATTAATTCCCTAGTTAGCCATCCATATATGGCTGCTACTGCTACTGCTACTGCGTTGTTGATGATGTGCAACCTTTTATTGTTATCTGAATCGTTTGAATTCGTGTACAATGGATTCAACGACTCAAATATGGTAGAAGCAGGAGCCACAGTTATCAAACCCAGCGGAGCACTCAGGCTCACCAACAATTCAGAAAACGTCATCGGCCATGCATTTCATCCTACACCAATTCCCATATTATCAATTAATTCAACCTCTTTCAGCACATATTTTGTATTCCAAATAGTACCCTCCACCTCTAACCGGGGTGGTTATGGCCTAGCCTTCACTCTATCCCCCTCCACAAGTTTCCCAGGTGCATCCCCCGGCCATTACTTGGGTGTATTCAATGAATCCAACAGATACACTCCTTCCAAACACATTTTCATGGTCGAATTCGACACTGTTAATGGTTACAACGACACCTCAGACACAGACGGGAATCATGTTGGGATCAACATCAATGGAATGAACTCCACTTTTCATCAACCAGCATCTTATTCTGTTGATGGTACCCGAGCCAAGAACGAGGATTTTCCTTTGGAGAATTATGGTCCGGTCCAGGCATGGATTGACTACGATGCTTTCACTAAACTTGTCAATGTAACTGTTTCTCCTCTACGCGTTGTTCCTAAGCCACTTCGACCTTTGATCACCGGGGAAATCGATTTGTCCGATGTACTCCTGGATACCATGTACGCTGGTTTCTCTGCCGCCACAGGACAGGTATCAAGCTATCATTACATCTTGGGATGGAGTTTTCGTCTTAACGGGACAGCCGATCCACTCGATCTATCCCAGCTTCCTGTTATACCTGACAAGATATTGCCTTCTAGCTCCATTGACGTTGACTTGAAAAAGGCACTTATTGCCACGTTTTCTGTTATCCTCTTCGTCCTGTTAGTCTCACTCTTATTCACAGTGTTTTACCGGAAAGTGATGAAGCTTGAGGTGATGGAGGATTGGGAGTTGGACTGTCCTCACAGATTCCGTTACAGGGATCTTCACAAGGCCACTAAGGGATTTAATGAAACTGAGAAAATTGGATCTGGCGGATTCGGAGCGGTTTACAAGGGTGTTTTACCTTCCACTGGGGCTGAGGTTGCAGTTAAAAAGATCATGTCCAACAATCCACTCCAAGGGATGAGGGAATTCGCTGCAGAAATCGAGAGCCTTGGTAGATTAAGGCACAAGAACTTGGTCAATCTTCAAGGATGGTGCAAGCACAACAACGACCTCATCCTCGTCTATGAATATGTCTCCAACGGAAGTCTCGATTCTCTACTCTACACCCATTCCAACCCCAATTTACTGCTCACTTGGGATCAGAGATTCAACATTGTCAAAGGTGTTGCATCTGGGCTCTTGTACTTGCACGAGGAGTGGGAGCAAGTTGTCATTCACCGTGATGTCAAGTCGAGCAATGTTTTGATCGACCACGAAATGAACCCCAAATTAGGAGATTTCGGGCTTGCAAGATTATACGACCATGGGAAAGCCTCACACACCACAAACGTTGTGGGCACAATAGGCTACATTGCACCCGAGTTGTCTCGAATAGGTAAGGCTTCCAAGGGCACTGATGTCTTTGCTTATGGGATTCTCCTGCTTGAGTTGGCCTGCGGGCGGGCCCCAGTCGTTTATGAGGCTGCCCGCAATGTAATCTTGGTGGATTGGGTGGCAGAGTGTATGCAAATGGGGAATATTTTTGATGCAGTTGATCCTAAATTGAACTCATCTATGTATGCGAGTGAAGAGATGGAGTTGGTGCTGGGATTAGGGCTTCTTTGTTCACACCCAAAGCCAGAGGCAAGGCCTACAATGAGACAAGTGATTAAATATCTCAACGGAGACGAAGTTATGCCCTTGTTTGATCAGTTGAGCTCAGCTGGATCGAGAAGACTTGATCAAGTTACTTCAAGATTCTTGGCATTAGCATTAAGTGCTGATAGTGATAGCATTACTACTACTACAGGAGCTGCAACATTTGCATCATCTTCTGTAGGGACAATATCTTCTGCTTCTTTTGAATCCGGTAGGTAGATACATGATTACCATTAAATTAAATTGTCGAACGTTAATTGCTTCTAAATACTTTAATGACGGCAAGCATATATATAGGAAGGACATTCTATCTTTATTACTAATCTTTATATTAGCTGATCATGTATAGATTATATTCTATCAAAAATAATAATTATAATAATAATGTATAGATTATATTGCAATATGAATTCTCATCAAAAAAAAATATTGCAATATGAATTGTAATATTAATTAAATTGCAAAATAAAAAATGAGAGTTTTCGATAAACTGATCATCCATGGGATGGGGCAAAGGAATACATCGACAATGGAACTGAAATAATATAAACAACGTTTTTATACGTTTGACAAGAAGTTTCCTTCCAAATTAGCCTAGCTTGTAACATGTTAACTTTTAGCTAGACCTGATAAAATAAATGAGATTATAGATAAATAAAAGGATATCTATATAAGTTTGTGAAATAAAGATAAAATGATATATACATGTCATTGGCAATTCTAACTTTATATAGAGAATCAAATAATGGGATCAGCTAGCGATTATGTTTTGGATTGGTTCCTATGATTGTATCACAAACAGGGCTCTTAACACTACACGGTTTAGCCTTCATTTTCCATGGAAACAAACCACCTAATCCACATCCCTTTGGCGAATGGTACGATCTCCTATTGATGCTAACAGCTCTAGACAAAGAACCATTAGCGTGTGGAGATGTCGAAAACGGAACTTTCTTATTTACAACAGACGCTTCAGCTAAGGCCTGTGCATCCGGAAGAAATCTCTGTATGATGAAATTCGGTGAATGACAGTATCCATCAAGTATAGTTGAGCTTCTGTCATTTGTCGTTGCGCAATTTACTTCAACGTCATTAACTATTGATTCAGCCAATGAGAAAATGTCACTATGGCCATATTCTTCTTCATCAACATCATAGCATCCATCAAAGGCATGGTCCGTTGCACCGTTAACCTCTTCCACAACAGGAGGCTGCCACCGCCCTGGTGGAAGTTTTGGAGGTGGAGGTGGCGGTGGCTCAATACTGTCGTCACTTGTTTCCTTGTCTTTAGGCTCACCGGCGATTCTTTCCCAAGAAAACGGAACCATATTGGTAGTGTAGTTTGAGGAGGAGGTGGTGGTGGTGGTTTCATGCAAAGAAAAGGGGCGCCTAGTTGATAGAAGGGGAGCATTCAAGTTCAGCTTTTGGGGGCGCTGCCCCTGTAGAATTTGCTTCTTGTTTTCCTCCATGTGGGCAGAAATAACACTTATTTTTTGTGGTCAAGTATAATATGATAGGATTTGTTTGAATGATTCATTAATAAGTATAGGAAACTTTAAGAAAGTAGCTAGCTGCAGACTGGACAGTTGTAATTGGTGGATATCTCGTGGACTTACTCTGCTAAAAGTTGTCTTTCTAACTGCAAAAAAGCTTGTTGCTGTATCCAATTCTCATAATACATACATGATACATATATCAGTGTAAGAGAAATAAACAAAACAAGAAATGTTGTATATAAACAAACTTTTAGAAAACAGAAGAAAAAAAGTCAACCAGGAGGAAAACACAAGAAATAGATAGTCTGATCACAGTTTGTAATTCAATCTACATATTTACTTCTAAAAGGTGGTGAATCACTTGCTTTCAAATGAAACATAAATTTAGTATCATCAGTTTTTACTGAATGCCACGTGTGCTCATCCATTTACCATTGCCAAGAAAACGAAAAAAATAAAAATAAACAAAAATAAACAAAAATAAAAAAGAAGTGTGTATAATGGGTTCACAGGGCATCATCAGCTTTTTCTTCTCTTCCCCCTTCGTTTTTTTTTTTTACAATTTCACCTAATTGGTTTTGGCAGATGATCATTGATGACCAGTCCAAGCACAATGGTTCTAAGAGCAAAGCTCAGAGGAGAAAATGGATCCATCTATCTCCGAGAGAGTCGTGCAATAAAATGGCAACAGCTGATAAAAATATAGCTGCACAAGAATACTAAAAGTATCCTCCACCACCAAATATTGCTCTCTGTTTATCACTTAGGTTGTTCGTCGGCCCGTTTTTGTGCTTTTTGATGAAGTTCAATAGTGTCAGTGTGTTTAGGATCAAGACAAAGGGCTGCCTCACAGTCTCTGAGTGTGGCTGAGTAATCACCCATTGAATCATGGAATGCTGCACGAAGATGAAGCAGCTGCAGGTCCGGCTTGAATGCTATTGCTTTTGTCAGCTCTGTTATTGCTTCAGCTTCCTTGTGGTCATCCATCAATACTGAAACACATTATTATTTGTTAGCCTTTTTTGGTCTAAATTTAGATTCAATGTCTACCTAAAATGTAACACCCTCTGGAGATAGATACTAAGTTGTTATGGATGGTACTTGAAGATTTTGCAATATTTCCTCTGTTATGGTACATCTTATCATACATAATCCATACCAATCTAGCCAAATAACATCAAAGTGCAACTTTTGTTTACCATTCATTGCTCATTAAGTGGGAAAAAAAGGAAAAGGTGAAAGACTTACCGGCAGCCCGGTATCGGTAAGGATATGTCCTTAAAGGATCCAATCGGGTTGCCATGCTAAGGTCACTTTTGGCCATTTCACGGTCACAATATTCAGAACGTTTCTCATAAGCCGATGCATTGTATCTTGCCTTGTCGATCAACTTGGTCATCTCATCATATGCAGCTTTCCTTAGATTTTTCAGGTGGTAAACACGGGCCAGCCCCTGATGTGCCCGTGTATGCTTAATGTTTAGGGCATTCATGTAGCAGTCAACTGCATGATCTAGTTTCTCCACATCTACATATATACTTGCTAGATTGCTTAAAGCCTGCGATAATCGATCACATCATGTCAATATTTAACAAACGAGGGCATACCAACAGTCTTTTAGAAGATTAACACTTACTTGTCCTTTCCTAAGACCATCAGACGGGCACCTGAGAGCATCCTCGAGGAGTTGGATAACATAGAATGATGACTCATGATCCGTTGTTGTTTCAGACAGAACATACGCTTTTAGGAAAAATGCTTCGAATGATCTCTGGATTGAGATGGATTCTTCAGCTTTTGCTATTGCTTCTTCACGATAACCAGTGTCGTACAAAATCCATCCTTCGTAGATAAGTCTTTCATGCTCAGACGCTGCGTGATTTCTAGCCATCCTCAGACTTCTCATAGCAGCCTTGTGGCAGTTTAATCTGTACCCCGGTACACACAAGTTAATTATTTACAGCAGTTTGATGCAATTAATTGAAATTGAAAACTTAAAAAACATGATAAAAAGTACACTTGCCGCAGTAAGAGGAGAGATTGCCGAAACCTTAAAAGGCTCTTCCCAGGATCATTAGCCAACATATGGTGCACAACAGCTAAAGAGCCAATATCATCTACCGAAGACCACCTATCATATAGCTGCATCCAACAATCAGCTTGATTACACTGCTGCACATGGTGGCGTAGAATCTCCACCAACTGATCGCCGTGCAATTTACCATGAAACATCATGTACTGAGGGTCCAATGTTAGAAGTGCCCGAACATCTGTCAGAGCTCCTTCATAGTCCTCTAATGAAATCAAGAACCAAGCACGCAGCTCAAGGCAGTCTGGGGAGACCTTGAAACCAATTATCTTGTTAATCTCGGATATCGAAGCACCAATCTTGTCATCCTCCATCATCGAGACAGCTCTGTACTTGTAAGGATAAGAGAGAGTTGGGTCCATTTCGGTAGCCGTATTAAGATCCATCATTTTCTCTTTACCACTACTGTACAGAGATCTTTCCTGATACATCCACCCTGAGGGGTTGTAGTCAGAAATTAGGGAGTTTATCATCTTGTACGCCTTGTACTTGTGGCCCCGCTTGTTTATCGCTCTTGCCACACCAACTAACGAATAAACATGACCTGCTTCAACAGCTGCCTCGAACCACTTCTGAGCATCCTTAAATTCTTTCCTTTCGAGCATCACACAGCCCAACTGGTGGAAAGCTAATTGCTTCTGCCAATTCTCGGTAGCACACTCCCCCATCCTTTCCAACAGCATTACTGTTGTGTTAGATTTTATATCTTCTTCCATTGCTATTTGGCTCAAAAAGCTGTAGAGCAAAAAAGAAGCATGCCCCACCGATGCTAATCTTTCACGTGCCTCTGAACTGCAGAAGAGTCTAGTCACGTTTGGATTGTGCATCGAACTTGGAAGTTCCCTCAGAAATACCTGCAAGCAAGCTGCCACAAGGAGATATGCAGTCTCCTCAAGCCCATGCTCAACAAGCAGTGCAGCACTATCCATATCATCAACCAGAGCTGCAAGATATGCATCACACGCAGATTTCATTTCGTCACAGCAGAACCTGTTAGCCAAAACCAGGAGTTCAAAAACAACATTTGGATCGAAAGAATCCACGCTCTTAATCCTGCTGAACACCTCTGCAGCTCTCATCGCCTTGGCAGAAATCCCGTTCTGAGCAAAATATATCCGCTCCTTTTTCGATTCCATGAAGGAACCGTACAACATTGATTTGAACGGTCTGGAGAGAGAAGCAATCTTGTATCTATTACATTTAACCTCATCATCCCCAATGCAGAACCACATATCATAATCATCCTCTTCATCATCATCATTGTAGCTAATCGAAGTCGAGCATTCTTGGCCTTGTAAATCAGATTCCATAGCCCCGTCTTTTTCCAAGCCATTTTGACACGAACAAATATCATGTGCAGACTCGGGATTGTACCCCGATACCAATGAAGTCTTGGGGCATTCCATACTCCAACCACTACAATCCATTGCTGACACACCAAACAGCTCATCCTCCCTTCTCTCGAATCTCAACCAAGCTGAAAGTACAACCTTTGAATGCACATCGACAGCGTGTTGCCTGGCTGATCGAAGACACCTCCTAAACAATTTAGGGTCAGGCAATCCCCTGAAGATTGCGCATTGCTCCATATACACACCTGATCTCTCGAATTCAGGGCAATTCTCAAGCTTTGTATGAACATCGGCTAGAATTCCCACAAAATCAACAAATTTGAGAGACGGATCAATCTGGGGTTCGATGAGATCCGACTGGGGAAGCCCGTAGATTGCAAGAACCTCCGCTAGAACACTTGGATTCACATTATTGGTTTGAGAGAAACTCTGATAACGCCGATGAGATTTCGACCTAATTGAATTAACCCTTAAATGGTCTTGCAAATGCTGCAAGAATTTCTCACCCACGCCACCGCCGGCTGCTCCACCACCTCCGCTGGCCGTGGGATTAAGGGCGTACACTTGGGTTCCTTTGCACCCATCTATCATCTTCAAACTACGCATTGTATTGAATAAATGTTGCTGCATCTTCCCTCAATCAAAACACCACCCTATAAATAATTATGCAAAGACATACACACACACACAAAAAAAAAAAAAAAAAAAAAAAAAAAAAAAAAAAAAAAGAAGAAGGGGAATGTATGAAATGCTGTGGGATTGGGTAAAAATATAAAAAGATCAAATCTTTACCTGCAAACACCCCCGTTGACCAAGAAAGGAGAAAGCTTTTGGAAACAAGAGCCGGTTCTGCGATGAGTTGTTCTCCTTCTCAGCAATAAATGGATGGAGGTTTTTTTTTTTTAAATAAATTGTCCTATTATTGAGTATTCAAAATTATGAAATTTGATGGTGATGGTGTTCGAGGGTGGTGCCCGTTAATTTGCACGGCCACTCTCTCTATCTTCTCTCTAAATATGATCTATATCTATATTTATTTATCAACAATCAACAGATTCGTTTGTATAAATTGTTTTTTTATTGGACTTGTTTTTTACAGAGAAATAATGCAATTAGTGCGTGTAAAGAGTGCGTACCAATATTTACCCAAAAAGAAAAAGAAAAAAAAAAAGTAACAAGTGCGTAAAAACCCGTTAGAAATGGAGAGCCGCTGAAATTAAAAAGAAAAAAAGAAAAAAAAAAAGAGAAAGGAATGCCAAGCTCCAATATTCTGCAATTTCCGACCGTAGTTTTCGGGCCTATCGAGAAACATCACGCTCTCTGGTTCGCGCGTAGAATAGCCAAATCTATGATTGGCTGAACATTTTGGCAGGTGGCGCGTGAGTTGGTCATTAAAGGAAAAGGTAGCGATGATGGATAATGAATGCTCGTGATTAGTCATTTAAGTTGGGCTGGGCTGTTTGTGTCATACCTCTCCTCATTCCTGGGCTTTTATCTTTGGGCCTCACCCTTTCTTTTTCGTTTATAAATAAATACTTTATTATGTGATTTCACAATTTCTGACGTTTTAAATTCAAATTATTCAACTGTGGCTGGTGTTACAGGGGTTAACTTATAATCGAAATTTTCACACCGTACGGCCTGATTTACGCACTAAATCAGTCAGCCTACTCAATAATTCTTCCCACAAACGTAAGGCACCATCGTTGTATCAAATGAACAGCAACAATCACAAGTATGCAGCGGAAATCGAACAACACAAGCAATTTACGAGCAACGCTCAACCTTTATTGATTCACTCACGAACAATACAAGGAAAGCCCTTGGTGCACACAAAGAATCCTCACAACAGATGCTAACAATTGCAATCTGAGTCCCTCTATCTGAATGGGTCGGATTTGTGCACTCTAGGGCCTATAAATACAAGTTACAATGCAGTCTACACACTAAACTGCCAAAGGACACATGGCGGCACGCAGGCCAGCCACTTTGCTCACTAATACAACATAAATGGACGGTTTTCTAAGCCATTGCTGATGCCAACCGCTCCGCAACTGCCTTCCTTAACTTCCCGAGTCAATTAGCTGCCCGGCTTGCCCAATCGGCACGCGCGCATGCCCAAGGATCGAATCCGCCCGCACGCGTGCAATTCAGCCCGCTTGCCTTGCCCACACTTGCCATGCCTTTCTCGGCCAAGCATCTCAATGCTTGCCAATCACTCGAAACCCTTGCCTTGTAATTCTCGGCCAAGCACCTCAATACTTGCCCAAGTCTCAGCCACTGTTTGGCCCATGTGTAGTTTGCCTTGTGCCAAAACTTCTTGGCACCATTTCAACTATAACTCGGCCACACTCGAGTTATAGTCGATATCACCGTCTAAGGGGGTAACAGACCTCCCCCACCAACGGTGTTCGACGCGCTCGTCGAACTGTTCACCCGCTTCAAATTATCCCAATACTTTGCCAACTCGTCTTCAAACTGCCACAGATTCACTGCATTCTCCCAAGTAGCATCGACCACCTCTGAATTTTTCCAATGTATTAAAAATTCAGTCCGCCGGTTCTTCTTGCTTTGACCTTGGGTCTTGTGGTCCAGAATTTGCTGAATTTCTCTCTCAAATTCCTTTCGGACCACGGGTGGGGCTCTCTTCGTTTGCTTCCGACTTTCATCGAGTAAATCTTGGTTGAACTTATTTAAGAAACTCACATGAAACATAGGATGCACTTTCAATCTGTCCGGCAACTTCAACCGATAGGCAACTCGGCCAACTTTTGACACCACTTCAAAAGGACCGTCGTATTTCGGCAGACAAGGCGTGAAGGATCTGCCAAGTGCCATTTCGGCAGCAGATCGACTTGTCGATTACAAGGTGATATGGCCCGATGATTCCGATAAGGAAGGCTCGAAGAAGGATAAGTCCAAGGGAAATAAGTTCGGTGGCAAGGGTGGCCGTAATTGGAAGCAAAAAGAGAGCGGTGATGGCGAGGGATCCACGGTGCAGGCCAATTCCGGTGGACAACCCGTTGTCAACAAACAAAACCGTGGTTGTTTTCTATGTGATGGCAACCACCGGATGAGGGACTCTCCTAAGAGGAGCAAGTTGAATTGATAAGGAACGTCAAATTGGATTCGAATTGCAAAATAACTACTTGATTCGGAGAAGAGTTATTTATGGGCATTGGTGGAAATATCGAAAGAAATTATTGAAAAATAAGGGTTTTCTTCGAACTCAAATTGTATTTGAGTACGAAACGAACTCTATCTCAAGTGAAACGGCGCAAGGAACAAAACTCATGAGCAAAGCTCGTGAATCACGTCAAATTTCAGCAATCCAACGTCGTTTAGACTCCTAAAAGTTCGTTTTTGCTATTTTATGCAAGTTTTAGAAAATTAATATCAAATCATAGAAAAATCGGATTAAGATTCCGTAAATTGGGTTGTTCACAAAATTACGAGATCTACTAGAATCAGATTTTAACTCGTTTTTGCCATTTTTGGTAATTTTTAGTATTTACTTAGTTTAATTAGGGTTTTCAGTTTTTTAGTATAAATAGCTGCCTTAGGACTTTATTTTAAAAAGAATTTCGAATTTTAATAAAATATTTAGAGTTTTCTCTATTTTTCTGGTGGATTCCAGAGTTTTCGGTGGATTCCGAATGTTATTTTGTTCTATAGGATTAATTCGTAGAAATTAATTCTTTATCGTGCTTCCGTTCTGCGTCAGTTGGCGCTTTGATGCGGGAGTCGGATAGTGAGGAAGAGTCGGATGAGACGAGGCGTGCAAATCCGATTCAGTTGTTGAGTGCTTTGGTCGTGGACAAGGCACCCAACGGCACCAAGGGCTTGATGTATGCCACGGTGCTGATCAATGGCAAGGAAGTGAGGGCAATGGTTGATTCGGGAGCAACTCATAACTTCGTTGCTGAAAGAAAAGGTCAAGAAGCTGGGCTTGACTATCTCAAAACATGCAAGTCAAGAAGCTGGGCTTGACTCTCTCAAAACATACAAGTCAAGTTAAGGCTGTAAATTCAGAGGCGGGGCCGGTGAAGGGCAGAACCGATGTTGATTTAGTGATCGGTTCTTGGAAAGGGCAGTGTGGATTGTCTGTCGTACCACTAGATGATTTCGATGTGATATTGGGGCAAGAGTTCCTACTTGCTGCCAAGGCTGCGGTGATACCATTTCTCGGAGGGTTGATGATTATGGACGAAAAGTGTCCATGCTTCGTCGAATGCTCGTACGTGACTAAAGCAAAAGCGGGAAAGAAACCGGTGGAAATGTTGGTTGCGGTGCAATTGGAGGCAGAATCGAACGACGAGGAGTCATCGAGCCTAATTGCAGTCGTTGGAAACAAAACGGTGAATTCTCGGGCTCGTTTGCTTGTACGTGCATTGCCGAGAAATGATACAAAGGCCGAAGGCAAGTTGAGGTATTTAGTTGGGCTTATGAAAGGGCATTGCGGCCTTCCTTTTGTTCCAAGTTGCTGTCGTGTGTGGCATAATTCGCGGGTTCGAAATGTGGTATCTTCTGAATTTGTGTTGCGTGTTGGATTTTTGTTGGGCTGGTTTCTGTTGTTGAGAAAATGAAAGCCGTGTTTGGGTGATTTCCGTGGGTTGGTGGTCTCCTTTCTTGATTGGTGTGACAATCGAGATCAAATGCTAGTGATGCCAAAAACTAGCATTTTCACTTGTGGTATGGTGTTGTTGTTTGAACGCGATTGGCGTTCGATTTTCCGAGGGCTGAAAGAATTTGTGGGAAATTCGTGGGATCAGACTTGGGATTTGGTTTTCGATGTGGTGCTGTGGATCAAGCACAATCGAGGACGGTGGCAAGATAAGTGGAAACGAGGGAAAGCTGAAGCTGATGGTGTCGGTTCGACGAGGGCGTCGAACACTGTTGGTGGGGGAGGTCTGTTACCCCCTTAGTCGGTGACATCGGCTATGACTCCAGTGTGGCCGAGTCATGGCCGAGAAATGGTGCCAAGCAAGGGTTGGCACAAGACAGCCACACAATTGGCCAATGAGTGGTCGAGTGTTGGGCAAGCATTTGGGGTGTTTGTCCGAGAAAGCAAGGATCGGCTTGATTGAAGTGGGAACGGTGATCGAAAGTACTTATGGTTGGCACGGCGTTGCTAGGCAGCGAATGCGGACAAGCGTGGGCAGTAATCGGCATGTGGCCGAGAACTTGGGCAAACGAACGTGCGTTCGAAGGAAATCGACCACGACTTGACAAGTGTGGGCAAGTTGGCACGACCGGTTGGCAAGTCAAGGAAGGCAGCCCGATGTGCGGGCGTGTTAATGACCGTGTGGGCAAAGAACTGGCAAGTAATTGGCAAGGCGAGCAAAATGTGCCGAAAAGGCAAGGCAGGTGGGCTGCCTAGCAACCGGCCGGGTTGTTTTGGGCCGTTCGGTGCGCGCGCGCGCGCCCGATCAAAGATGGGCCTCGAAAACCAGCCTTATGGACGATTTTGAGGGAAGTTGCGGAGCAAGTTGAGGCCTGGAAAGCATGAAAAACTGCCCCTTATTACTTGTAATAGTTAGCCAAGTGTCAAGCAAGTATGCTGCCAAGTGTCCTTAGGTAGTTTTATGTGAAAACTACATTCTTTCTTGTATTTATATGGCTATGAGTGCACAAATACTGCCCATCTAGCATTAGAGAGTTCAGATTGCAATTGTGGGCATTCTGAGTGAGGATTTTGTGTGTGCACCTTTGTATTCTTTGTTGGAAACTAATATAAATGTTGGGCATTGCCCGTAAACGTGCTTGTGTGTTGTTTTCCGCTGCATACTTTTGTTCTCGTTTACGTTGGCTAAAAGACTTGTGTTTGTGCGTTTTGTACGAAGAGAATCGAGAGGAAGGCTGACTGATTTGGTGGGCAAATCAGGCCGGACGGGCGAAAAATTTTTGATCAAAGAAACCCATGTGACAACTGCCCACCTTAGCAAGATTAATATAAACAATTAACTAAAAGATGAAAGGGTATTGATGATGATGAGGTGAAAATAATTTATTTAAGAAAAGGTATATATATTATATATATTTGAAAAGTAAACTTTCTTTCAATTTAAGTTTTTTTAAATTTATAATGATTAATAATTAATACCAGGCCAATTTGTGAAAATGAAAATAGAATTAATGTGAAGATCGTATATAATTTTCCTTTGAAAGGTA